CAACTTCTGCCACTTCTTCTCCAATTAAATCATCACAAACCTCAACACACACGACGCGTAACGAAAACGGCACAACACCTGACCCTCGAACTTCAGTTTTTCAACGTGTCCGGTCTAAATCGGACCTACGGTCTCAGCAAACGAACCGCAGAGCAGATTCCACGAAAGGAGTTGTCAGTGTATGTGTGTGATTTTATTACTCTGCGGTATATTATAATAGTTCGCGGAACTTTCTTCCTGTCATACTTATTTTTATCAGACGATCATGGGATAACCTATACAATTGTGCTCGTAACTATTCAAACGAACACAGCCACTTAAATCGTTGACCGTATACCTTACATCAACGTATCATAATATAAATCCTAATTTCCGATACGAACTATCGTATAATCCGCGTCGCGTTTTGACAAAACCCTCAAAAGGAGTAAAAAACGATGGATTTGACAACGAGGACAGTGATTATATTTTATATGTAAATGATGTATTAGGAAGTGAGGAGGGACAGAAGTAAGTAAATAAATTCTGCAATATGTTTTCTATAATAAGTTCAAATTGTTTACATTAGATTGTTCGCTAGATATCTCATTTTAGATGTTCTTGGCCAAGGGACGTTCGGTCAGGTTGTGAAGTGTCAGAACTTGAAGACAAAAGATATTGTTGCGGTCAAAGTCGTGAAAAATAAACCAGCTTACTTTAATCAAAGTATGATGGAAGTTACTATATTAGAGTTGGTAATGTATAAATAAACACAATAGTTCACATGTTTTCCCAATATATATTCACTGCTCCTTTTAATTTTAAAGTTAAATCAAACGTGGGACAGTCAAGACCAACATCACATTTTAAGGCTTTTAGATACATTTATTCATCGTCGTCATCTTTGTTTGGTGTTCGAACTTTTATCCGTTAATTTGTATGAATTGATAAAGCAGAATCAATTTCGTGGACTTAGCACTAATCTCGTTAGAGTATTTACCTCACAATTATTAGATGCACTTACTGTACTGAATGAAGCTCGCATAATTCATTGCGATTTAAAGCCTGAAAATGTATTGTTGAAAAAGTGTGTGAAAGCTTCGTGCGTTATAATATATTGGCTTTTGCATGATACTGTTTTTTCGTTATTTTAAAATGCTAAGTGTTTTTTTTTTTATTGGGATTAATTTTATTTGTAGTCTAGAGTCACCTACAATCAAAGTTATCGATTTTGGCTCTGCATGTCATGAACGTCAAACGGTATATACGTATATTCAATCCCGATTTTATAGAAGCCCAGAAGTATTATTAGGGCTTCCGTACGTATATTATGCATTTAAAACTATTTAATGAAAACATTCGCCTGTACGTTGCATAATTTATTAATATTTATTCACTAATTGTCATCAGATATTCATCTGCAATAGACATGTGGTCCTTAGGATGCATTGCAGTAGAACTTTTCCTCGGATTACCTCTATTTCCGGGGAGCTCGGAATATAATCAAGTCTCTCGGATCGTCGAAATGTTAGGCGTCCCGCCACCATATATGATCGAAGTAGGTAAAACAGCTCATGAATATTTCGAACGGTATACGAATGAACATGGTCAAAAGAAATATCGTCTGAAAACGATGGAGCAATACATGAGGGACAATAATTGTGTAGAACAACCTTCCAAGAGATATTTTTCTGCTACAACTTTACCTGAAATTATAAAGTCTTATCCGATAATGAGGAAAGGTGTAACTCAAAAGGACATTGATAAAGGTGATGATACATTATTAATGATCTGTCACATATTTCATTATGAACCCACAACTAATCAAATAAAGGAACCGTTATATTTCAGAAATGCAAAATCGGCTGGCTTTTATTGATTTTGTGCAAGGATTATTGAATCTCAATCCTATTGAACGATGGTCGCCACAACAAGCTAAATTACATCCGTTCATAACGGGTGAGAAATTCACTGGTAAATTTACGCCGCCAATGCAGCTCAAATCATCTAATAAATCCAGCAACACATCCACACAATCGGTCCCTTCATCTACAAGTTCACAACCATCGTCACATTTGGCGCCGTTGCCGTCACATTCACAATATAAAACACCTAACTCATCTCCAAAAATTCCACATAAAAATCCGGTTGTAATTCATGAAATGCCATCTGTAACAATAACATCTCATAATGTCAATGCAACTGGTCAACGACCACAAATTCAACAAACTTCAAATAAAATGGCGACTTTGGCACCCAAACAGAGTTTAAGTACTCTAAGACCTCGTGCTAGTACAATTGGAAACATCCAAGTCCCACCTCAAATTCAAATAGCTGCGGCTCTTGTGTCCCCAGGAAACGTAGGCGCGTCACCAGGTGAACATAAGAGGCTCCCAAAAGAAAAAGATCAGAGACGATTGCCACCGCCATACCCGCATCTACAGCTATTACCGGAACATGAACATGAAACTGCACAATTTTCTGTTGTAGTTGATGGTGAAGACAGGCGTGCAACAGGTGCAACACCTGGGACTTATTACCAGAATTTAGCGCCTCCATTAAATTACGAACAATATCATCACCATTCACAAACACATCGGTATAATTCTAATTATCGAATATCACCGTCAACCTCGCCATCATATCCACCGTCATTCCATGCCGGCAAGGGTTTGTGATGAAACGCGGGGTACACGAGATGATATAGGTTGTGATAGACTGAATGAAAAAAAATTTTGTATAATTCATTGGTATCTAGAAATAATAATATTAACAAATAAAA